AAATTTTTTTTTTTTTTTTTTTTTTTTTTTTTTATTAATACTTCAAAATTAGAATATAAAAAAAAAAAAAAAAATAAAAATAATAAAAATAACGCATATTTTAGAATATATACATATATACACGTATAAACAATGAGCACGTATAAAATTTATACTAGATTTATTTCATGGGCAAAAAGTGCTTAAAACGTGTGCAAATAAATTTTTATATTTTTTTTTTTTTTTTTTAGTTTTAACTAAAACAAATAGGTGCAAATATGAAACATTGATTACTATAAAAAAAAAATTTAAATATATATTTAGTTTGATATACTAAAATAACATAAATTGTTAATATAATAAAAAAAAGAAAGAAAAATGTAATTAACTCAAGGAAAATAATACATGTCTTCATGATATATATAGAAAAGTAATAAAATATAATAATTTGGCATAAAAAGTAAAAGTGGGTAAATTATATAATTAAGAAATTTTTTGTTTAAATAACTATAACTATTTTTTATACCAATTCTCGCACTTTTATACACTTATTTTGCATGTATTCATAAAAGAGAAAATTATGCAAAAATATATATATATTAGATTTACAGCATATTTACTAATGAAAAAAATATGCTAGCGTTTTCTTTATATAAAATTCGCATTTAAAAATCCTCTAAAAGTTTATTATTTAGAAAAGATAATAATAAAAAAAAAAAATAAATATATATATATATAATAATAAAATTTTAGCGCAATTAAAAAAAAAAAAAAAAAAAATCCACACAAGTTAGCAAAAATTTTTAAAATACACATAAATAAAAGATAAAAAAATATATTATAAATAAAAATGTAATAAAGATAATAAACTTAATTTTATAAAATTACTGTAAAAATTCAACATCATTAAAATATTAAATTTTTCTTTAATGCATAAATCATTATATATATAAATGTGCATACGTTAAAATACACAAAAGTATATATTTATATAAATGCGAAAATACATTAATTCACCATTAAAATCATACTAGTCATAATTTTTTCTTTATGTAATAAAAATAATAGGCATATCAATTCAAATGAAGCCCTAATAATTTATATATAGATGTAAAAAAATACCATTTTTTTTTTTTTTTTTTTCTTTTTATAAATTTTATTTTAAGCTATAACACAAATGTAAAAACAATATTATATTTATGCATTTATATAATTTTTAATATACTTTATTTGAAAATTGGAAAAATATTTTAAAGCATATTATTCTTTAAAATAAAAAAAAATTATTCACTAGTCGGTGCTTCATAATATGTATTTATAATAAATATTCTTAAAATAATCACCCAATTCATGCACATAAGTATTAATTAAATGAATATTTACAATTTTATTTTATAACATTATACATATGTTTATTTTTATATACTTCTTTTTACACATATATATATATATATAATACTACTTTATATCACTATTTTATCAATCTAAAAGAGTTGAAATAGAACACTTTGTAAAAAAAAAAAAATTATATATTAAAATATAGAAACTATTTAATAATGTAAAGCTTAAATGTCACTGAATCATATTTAATTATTTGTGATAATTCTATTATGTAATTCAATGAAATAAACATTATATAAATTATAAGCATTATCTCATTTCAACGTAAATTTTAAGAGAAGTTAAAAAATATAATCTATTATTCCAAGTTTTATTGAGAACCTTCTACTTATAATAATTCTAAGATTTAGTAAAATGTCTATATAAGTAAATTATTCATTTTTAGTTTTATATAATTTTGTTTTGTTACAATTATATCTTAAGTTTTTAACATAATATTTTGGAATATTATTTAGTTAAATCCTTTCTTATATTTTTATTGAAAAATTTAAATTTCTATAAAATTTATGGTATTATAATTAGATTTAAATGAATAATTTTTAAATAAAAATGGAAATAATTTAGCCGTGTTTAAGAACTGATTTCATGTATCTCTTAGGAATGTGTTGTAAGCTAACAAAATTATGCATATAAAATATTAATTAAAAAAAAAAAAATTTGAAAATAATAATAGATTGAAAACAAAATATTTATTTTAAAATACAGAGATTACTTAATATAATTGATAATGCTTTTTAATTTAAAAAGTAGCTACTTTTTTTTTTCATTATTTCAACACTTTGGCAAACTTAATAAATATTTAAAACCCTTTAAAATATTAATTTAAAGTTATAATAAACATACACTTTCCCAATATTTTGTCAATAAATAAAAAATTTATTTAAAATATTTTGAATATTAAATTTTATTTTTGATTCATTAAAAAATATACCAATTATGCATTATGTTTCAAAAAATTTTTTTTTTTTTTTCTTATGTTATTTTTTTCACTTTAAAATTATTTTTGAGTACATAAATTTGGAAAAAATTTCAATATGAATAACATATATTTTAACTTTTTAAATATATATATAAATCAAATGAATTTGTATATGTTTTAAAGTTTTTCATAAATTTTTCAGGTTTATAAAGGATATTAGTTTATAGAAAACTAGTTATTTCTTTTTTAATTTTTTAAAAAGGAATACTAAAAAAACTTAAATTTTTTTTTTCTAAATTATCATGAAGATATAAATTAGTTCCTAAATATTTTTAAAGAAATTTTCATATATGATGATTTATAATATTCTAAAAGAAAATAATAAAAAAAAATGAATGCGAATGATAATGTTACAAGTAAAAATGAAGAAGAAGAAAAAAATAATATGCATAAAAATGAAGTAATAGAAAATGTAAATAACAAAAATAAAGAAAAAAAAGGAAATAATAATAATGTTTTTCATTCTTTGGATGATGAATCAAGCGATGGAAGCTTTGGTCCAGCTCCTTTAGAGGGAGAAGATAATACTTATGAAGTTGATAATTGTGATAAAAATTCTGAAGATTTAATGAATAACAAAAACTCTTCTATAAATGTAAAAAAAGTAGAAAATGAAAATCGCAAAGAAAAAGAAAAAGAAAAAAAGGAAAGTATTTTAAATAAAAGAAAAGTTATAAAAATAAGCAAAAAGAAGAAAAAAGCTAGAATAAATAATGATATATATCTAAAAAATATTCCAACTAATATGAATTATGAAGTAAGTTATATGCACACAGATACTGTAACTCACGTTATTGTGAGTAATAAAAAAAAATATATAGTAACTGGAAGTGCTAATGGCGTTATAAAATTTTGGTATAAAAATGTAGGATCTATTGAGTTTGTGAAACATTTTAAAATTCATTCAGATGAAATTATTTGTTTGTTTATTTCAGAAGATGAAGAGATATTAGGTAGTTTATCTAAAGATAAAACTTACAAGCAATTTGATATTAGTAGCTTTGATATGAATATAATGATAAAATTAAATTTTTCTCCGAAAACAGGAGAGTTTATTTATTCATCTCTTTTTTCCACATCTGTAAAGGTTGCTATATCTTCAAGTGAAAAATCATGCATATATATTTATAAACCTTTAGAAAGTGATACATGTATTCAAATAATAGATTTTAGTTGTAATATTATTGAAATTATAAAGTACAATAAATTTTACAATTTGTGTGTATTAAGTGATAATAATGGACTAATTGACATTGTTGATGTAACTCATTTTAAATTTCCTAAATATGAACATGATAACGAAAAAAATCAAAAAAATAGTGAAATGAACACTAGTAATTTTAATAAAAGACACAATATAAAGAAACTAGAATTTTCTTTTAAAAGTGAAACAGATTTATATGAGTTATGTAAATATAAGACATATGCAATGTGCATAAGCTTAAGTTCAGATGGTAAATTTATGGCTGTTTTATCAGAAAATTATTTTTTACGAATATATAAGTTTACAACTATGAAATTATATAGGGTTTATGATGAAAGTACAGAAATGTATCTAACAGCTCAAAATGATCCATTAAAAAAAGATTTGCATATGGATAGTTTAGATTTTGGAAAAAGGCTTTTTATTGAGAAAGAGATAAAAAAAAGTATAAAAAATCAAAATATAAAATTGGATATGGTTATTTTTGATGAATCAAATCAATACATAATATATTCTACTTTTATTGGTATAAAAGTTGTTAATTTTATAACCAATCAATTGTGTTACATAATTGGTAAAAATGAAACCAATTTACGATACTTATCCATTTCATTATACCAAAAGATAATACCGGTAAACAAAATTAAAGCAAATATTCATGAATCTCTATATATAAATGAAAAAAACATATCTGATTGTGCTTTATTTTGCACCGTTTATAAAAAATCAAGATTTTACGTTTTTACAAAAAAGACATTAAACGAACATGAATTAGAAGAAAGAGATGTATATAATGAACAACCAACAAAAAATGATTTAAATTCTTTCTTATCAACACCTTTGAAAAACATAGAAAATAGTACCAAAACTCCTAAAAGTGCAATAATTTATACAACTATGGGAGAAATATATATTAATCTTTTTTATAAAGAATGTAAAAAGACGGTACAAAATTTTTCTGTTCATTCCTTAAATGGATATTATAATAATTGCATATTTCATCGAGTCATCAAGCATTTTATGATTCAAACTGGAGACCCCTCAGGAGATGGTACAGGAGGGGAGAGTATCTGGGGAAATGAATTTGAAGATGAATTTTTTGATCATCTTAATCATTCTAAACCATTTATGGTATCAATGGCAAACTGTGGTCCTAATACTAATGGATCTCAATTTTTTATAACTACAGTTCCTTGTCCCTGGCTTGACTTTAAGCATACAGTTTTTGGAATAGTAACTCAAGGGACCAATGTCGTTTTGGATATAGAAAATGTGCGTACTGACAAAAAGGACAAACCTTTAGAAAATATTAAAATTCTAAACATAAAAATTAATCATTAATCTTTCTTTTTTTTAATTGATATATGATGTATTTAAAGTATTTTTAAAAATTGTTCTATATATATCTTTCGTCTAACATACATATATATATAATATATATTTAAAGCATTATGAAATTATTTCAAAATTCATTTCATTTTTTTTTTTTTTTTTTTGTGTGTGTGTGCATGTGCGAATAAAATCCTATTTTTTTTTATTTTTATTTTTCCTTTATTTTGGTAAATCTATACCTTATACAAACATTTTAAAAAATATATTCTAAATCAAATTTTTATTCATTGCAAAACTTTTTAAACTTGTTTTATTTTAAAGGAATTTTTATTAACTCACCATATATACAGGTTACTTTTTATAACATTGAAATTCATTTTCACTAATATATTATTTTTTTTTTTTACTTTTCAACCTTAAGTGTCTAATTAATGATTAGTTTAATAATGCATAAAGAAAATTTTTATATTTTACATGATTTCTCTATTAGCTTTCATTGTGGACTTTTTTTTCAATAATAAATGAATAGTTAACTAATAATGATTACTTTTTTTTTTTTTATAAGAAAATATGCTCTTTGTTAAAAAGGAAACAATTATGTATACATTTTTTATTAGAAAGATTATTCTTAATTACTTAAAAATTAGTATATTGATCAAAATTTTTAATTAATAAAAAAACGAAATGTGGCAATAAAAAAAACATTCAAAAAAAACATTATTTAACGAATTAATTCTTCTTTTAAAATATATAAATCACACATTTATTATTTTTAATCTTGCTATAATATTATATTTATACATACACGTGCAAAAAATATTGCCCTTTTCTAATTTTTAAAAATTATATTTATACTTTTTCCTAATTATAAATAAAATGCATCAAAAAGAAAAATACTCTTGTTATCCAACTTAAACATTTATAAATCATTTTAAATAAATTTAATATTTCCATTTTAAGTTTACACGTAACAGTTTCACTTTCAATAGTTATTTATATGAAATGTGTATAGTGTCTCTCCTTTTTACAAAATTGAATTTTCATTCAAAAAAGCTTCTTATCTTTATTTTTGGAAAAAAAAAATTTTTTATAAAATTTTCAAACTGATTTACACATTTTATTTTTTTTTTCATTTTATAAATTTAAATAATCTATTAATTTGAAAATTTAAATAATGTAAAATATAGACAAAGAACAACTTCCCCTAATGTAAGCGTAAAGAATTTATTTTCCATAAAAATTATTTAATATAGACTCTTTTATCTAAAAGAACTTGAAAATTTTGAAATTTTCCTTATTTTTTAAATATTTTTTATTTAATTAAAATATAAACATTTGATATACATATAAAGAAAAAATGGCATCATTCATATTTTTAATCAAGTAATAACTTATTAAAATTAAAAATAAACACTTTAATGTAAATCAAATTAGTGAAATTAAAATATTTCCATTTCTATCATATGCATATTATTAATAACAAAACAATAATAAATTAAATATATATATATATATGAAATTATAATTTAATGCGTTAGAAAAATTAAGAATAAATAAATCTAGAAACATAAGTTTTTATTATTAAAGCATTTAATTATAAAGTTCCATAATTGCTGAAAATAAAATATAAAATAATATATTTCACTCACAACAAAACAAAGACAACTTTTTTATAACTTCATTTTCATTTAAAATAAGAAATGTAAATATATATAATTAAAATTAACAAAAGTATATGTATATCTGTAAATAATTTTAGGATAATTACTACATTTAATTTAAAATTTTTTATTTAATATAAAACAAAAAATAAAGATACACACAAAAAAAAACGTTTTAAAAAACTAATTACAATCATTATTACTACTAAGTATATAATAAATATATTAATACGCAAAAATAAGCTATTTTTTATTTAAATTAAAACATCACTTTATTAAAAATTAAAATACGGAATTTTTTTTATTTTTAAATAATATTAAAAATAAAAGTATATAAACATAATCAATAAATGCACTTCTCTATCTTTTGAAAAAACAGGAAGATACTGGTTCATTTACTCTTACATAATTACCAGTTCTAGTAGAAATATTAATTGGTGAAGATACACGAGAAATAACTGGTGCCATCATAGGATTTATTGATTTGGGTAATATAGATGAGCTATGTATTGGAGATGGACTTATATATCCTTGCCTCAATGATTTTATTAAGGAATCTCTTTCTTCTTTAAAGCGTCGAACTCTATTTGTAATATCGTTAAAGGTTTGTTGTAATCGAACTTTATGTCCTGGTAACCATCTAGTATTACTAAATTTTTCTACATCATCAAGAGAATTAGCTGATAATGTGCATAATGTTTCCACTGTGTCAAACCCAGCATTAATAAAATGTACAGATATTTCCACAGGAAGTTTTTGATACTTAAAAAATTCCACTACTAGTAGTCTGTCTTGCTCTAAGTCTGGATCTATAATAAAAAAAAAAAAAAAAAATTATATTCATGAAAATTTCAAAACATAAATAGCATTTATTATACGTATGAAAATATTAAAATATTAAAAAGACCTCCATTCCATATAGATTCAAAACCATGTAAATGCTCTGGATAATGCTTACATAAAAAATCAACAATAAAATGTATTACATTACTTGGTTCTCTCTCATCAATTTCCTATAAAAAAGTTAAATACATATAACTTAATTTTTTCTTTTTCTATTCCTTTTTTATTTCTTAACTTTAAATATACAAATACATATAATTCTTAAATATAATTTGTGTTAATATTTTTACTTGAGCTATTCTTGCTAATAATTGTTGAACATTAGACTTTTTACTATAAACGCTTTTTTTATTTAATTTTTTGGAACTTGCATTACTATCTGCATTTGATAATACATCATCATCTATTTTTGACCTTTTATCGGAATTATTCTCCGTTTGTGAATGTGATTCACTAAAAGTTTTTGACATTTTTGAAGTTTATTAATATATATAACATATACATATGCATTAAAATATATTATTTTAATTGAACCTTTTTTCATCTAAATTAAACTAAGAGTTTATGTGTATTAATGTTTTTTTTTTTTTTAAATTTATTAAAATTTTTTAAATATTTTATAATTCTTTTGTTTATGTGTTTTATTTTTTTTTTTTTTTTTTTTTTTTTTTTTTTTTTTTTTTTTTTTTTTTGGTGCATGAATTCCTCCAAAACGTTTAAAAAAAACTGAAAATGGTCTATTATTTTTACTTAATTTCTTGTTTGTTCAGAACATTTATGTTTCTGTTTTTTTTTTTTAAATCTGTAAGTAAATTTACATTTCAAAATTAAATAGCTATATAGACTTCTCATAAAAAACATCAGATAAAAAAAAATTCCTTTTTTGATGTTTCTCAGCTATTATTTTTTAATTTATAATATTTAAAATAAACAAATCCTTCCAAGTGCCACTTTTGTGGCGCTATTAGATGAGTAATCAACGATTACACATAAGAAGTTTCACATGAAAAATATATTAATATTTACGTATTATTAGAAATTCTGTTTTAATGTAATATAAGTGTAAAATCATTATTTACGAAGAAGTTGTAAATTAAATATAAATTTTTTTTATTTGATTAATTTAATACTATTTTACATTGCTAATATTATTGAAAACAATTATGTTCCAAAGAATCTTTTAATAATTATTAATAAAGTGAAAATACATTAAATATCCTTTTACTTAACTGTTAATACAAAAAAATTCCAAAAAAGTAATTCATAAATTATTGAATTCTAAATAATTTTTATATGGTGAACGTAGAAAGTAAATTAATGGCAAAAAACATAAAAATCACATCGAGCAACTTAATTTTTTAGTATGTATATCTAAATCTATAAGTAAATATATATTTTTTTTTTTTGTAATTTTACGTAATTTCTATTTTTTGATATTTTAATTAAAGGTTTTTTAAAAAGGGTATAAAAACTGAAATTATTAATAAAAGATATGTGAAAATAAATGAGTTAATTTACACATTAAAACATAATTCTATAGTAATTTCCTTGAACCTTTCTTTATTTTTTCATAGATAAAAACAGTATTATTCTCTTAACTAGAACAATTTATACTTTTAAAAAATATGAAAAATTCAACTAAGATAATATATATACAGCTTTATAACATTTAAGTACAAATACTACTTAGACTTAATTTAACACATTTTAAAATGAAAAAATACATCATCTGTTTAATGCTTTCAATGAACTACTACTTTGGCAAATTTTGCAAATCTCTACATTTACTTGTTTGAAATTTTATTAAAATTTATTTTTATAAGGTACTTACATCCTACAAAAAAATAATATAAAATAAATCAAATTAATACTTAAATATGTCCTCATATATTATAAAACAAAATAATGAGAAAATTCTCCTAGTACACAAAATAAAAACTTAATTCTTAAAAAAATCCTCAATATTATTATACAAATATAAAATATGTAATTTTAATGATTTTTCTTTTATTGTTAATTAGTGTATTATGTAAACATTTTGTTTTCCTCTTAACTAAATTAAAAATGTAAATATGATAAAAATGATTATCAATAAAAAATTTAATGTGTATTCAAATTCTGTGAAATTGTTAAAAATTTTGTAATAACTATTGAATGATGTTTCGTTGCACATATGTAAAAACGAAACTTTTCTAAATAACTAAATATTTTTTTTTTCTTCATAAAACGCAAATAACTCTTTACTTATTATGTATATAATTATTATTTTTACGTGATAATCCTTACCATTAACCTTTTTAAGAGAGATTTTTTAAATAAATTATATTTATTAAATTAAGAGAATATATATATTTTTTTTTTACTATAAATATGAATATATTCTTAAGTATATTTTTTATTTTGAAAATTTAATTACACAATCTAAAATGTTACATTTCAATGTGTTAAAAAAAAAAAAAAAAAAATTGAAAATTTTTTATTCTTTTCTTTAAAAATAACAAGCATATATAGTTAAAATATTTACCAAATAGCAAAACAAAAAGAAAAAATTTATATGCTTATTAAAAAGTAAAAGAGACAAAAAAAAACAATAGTATTAAAAAATTGAGTATATATTTAGCTAAATTCATATATATATAAATATATTATATATATATATAAAAGAACTTTTTCTTACTATTTAAACATAATACTTTGTATTATTAAAATAATACAGTAGTAAATAAGTAATAACTTATATATATGTATAACAGTATTTTTGTTATACATATATACTATTTTGTATTAGTAAAAAAAAAAAATTACTATAGTAAATGCATTTAGCTAAATATATACATTTATGCATATGAATACATTTTCATCTGCATATATATGTTATAATAATATAAAACATTGTTTTTTATTTCCTCTTTTCTTTCATTTATATTTTGCAGCCAAACGTGCACAGGCATTTAGAGAAATTATAATCATATTTTTTAATTTCTCTGGGTTTAATACAGGGTCAAAATTTCCCTCATCCCATTTAAGTGGGGAACCATCAACAATAAAAATTCCTCCTACTTTTACTTTTTTCAAACTTCCAATAACCATAACAGTTGCTAATTCCATATCATTAATAGCCACATGAGCCTTTGAATATAATTCTAATTGATTTGGAATTAATGAATGCTTATAGTATAAATCTGAAGTTAAACACATTCCTGTAAAAATATGTTCATTTAGTTCATTTGCACATTTTAGTAATGTATCATAAACTTCAAAATCAGCAACAGCTGGAAAGTCTGCATTTATTATCAAATGGGAAAGTCTATCTTCTCTAATAGCTGCGTGACAAACACAAATATCACCTCTTTTCATTTCATGTGGTTGAAGAGTTCCACAAGAACCTGCTCTAATTAATACTTTAACACCAATATTAATTAATTCTTCTACACATATTGCACAACCAGCAGAACCAACTCCATGGCTTACACATAAAAATTTCTGACCTTTATAATGACATTCAGCACTTTTATATTCTCGGTGATAAGCCAAATCTACGTAAGAATCACATAATAACTTTACTTTATCAACTCTTTCAGGATCACCAACAATTAAAGCTACTGAACAATAATTCTTTTTTGATAACTTTATATGCCTTTCGACTTCTTCCATTTTATAAAATTTTTTTAAAGATAAATTCAAAAAATATTAACTTTATAAAAAATATATTTTTAAAAAAAATATAAAAAATTTATTTAAAAAAAAAATTTAATTGTTTTTATAATTAAGAAAAAATTCTTAAAAAATTTCTCTTTCAGTATTTTAATGGAAAATAAAGATGCATGAATGAAGGATATAATATATTACAATTTTAATCATTAAAATAAGTAAAATGTTTATCATATAATTTTATTTGAAACTATGAAAATTAATTTTTTATATTAGTGCACAATTTATAAAATTTAAAAATATAACAAAAATAAATGTAAAAGAATATTTTTATTTAATATACGGATGGTAAAAATATACAAGAAATAAAACGTCCTATTTTTTTTTTTTTTTTTATTCGAATAAAAAAAAAATAAAAAATAATTTTTATTTTGGAATACGAAGTACCATGCGTTATAAGTATACCTTTTAAATGTATATATATATTAGAGAATTTCCCTTCGTCACCGAAAAGTTGTTAAAATTCAACACATCTGTTTTATGTAAATAAAACTGAAATATACAGAAATTTTCAATTCATTTAAAATCTTTAATGAATTTTCATAAAATAGAAATTCGTAATATCATTTTTTTATATATATATAAAATTAAAATGCTTAATATTCATAGAATATTTAATACAATTCAATTTTTCATTTTATAATAAAAGATTTTTTTATATATAAAAAACATGCATATTAAGTTAATCCCCTTTAATATTATATTATTATATATTTGAATTTTATGGAAATATTTTTTTTTTTCTTCTCTATTAACTTACTTAAAAATGAACTTATATTTGTAATAACTAAAAACGCCTTTTATTAAAATGAAATAAACTAATAACCCTGATAATTTATTTGTAAAAATATCATTTTATAATTTTTCCACGATTTTCATTTATAATTTAAAACAATATTATACTTTAAAGGAAAAAAATTTTTAAAAGGATAAAACATTTAACGACAAATATTCAATTACAATTTTGTACACGAATTACTCTTAGCTTAAAATTAAACATACTATGAGAATAATTTTTATATATAATTTATTTGATGATTTTTTTAAAAATTATATTTTGTTCTTAAATTTTAAAGTTCCAAATATTTTTATGAACAGTTATTATATTTAAAAAAAGATAAAAAAAAAAAAAAAAAAAAAATAAGGAAAAATTCCTTAACACAATTGTTTTTTTTATTAAATGTACAATGAAAATTTCAAATATGATCATTAAAAGCACTCTCTAATTATAAATGAAACATATTCTTTTTATATATTAAATTACTCCTTTTTAATAATTTTTCATCGAATAATATAATGTATTAGATACAGCATCTCATAAAAATTATATTAAATTATATCAATTTTAAGAAAAAAAAAATTAACAAATGATGTTGTATGGATGAATAATAAATAACTTTTCTATTTTATTTTAAAGAATCCTTCTATCATATAATATTACATTTTCTTAATATTAGTATTTTCAACTTTTCTAAGATTGTATATTCATGTAAAAATTTATTGTAAAAGTTAATTTATAAAAAAACTGTAAATTTTTAAAAATGATTCATTTACCTTATTTTGTATCCACACTTTTTTGTTAAAATTCAAATTTTTTTTTTTTTAAATATATAAAAATATTCAAAAAAGAAAAACTGAAAACAATAAATATGTATATAGGGGTACTATCTGATGAAATTGATGATAATTTTGATTTAAAAAATGATTCTAAATTTGGAGGTGATCCGTTGTGGTTATGTGGAAAAGAACCAGCAAATATACACTTAAAATGTACCATATGTAAAAAAGACTTAATATTTTTATTTCAATTATCAACATCATATGATGAATACATAAGAATAATATATATATTTTGTTGTGTGAATAGCACTAAATGTAACATGGATAAAAGAAATTGGGTTTGTATTAAAGCAAAAAAAAAGTTATTAGATAACTCAGAATATAAGAAAATAGAAGATAAAAATGGTTTAAATATGCATGAAGTGTGTTCAGATAAAAATATAAAAATCAACAGGTATTGCTCTACATCTTCAAAAAAGATTGAAGATAATGGAAAAACTACTTTTAGTTTCTCTGGTGAAAATACTGAAAAGGAAGATGTGTTTCAAGAAAAAATAATTTGTAGAAAAGAAAAACTAATTGATTGGAATTCCTTATTTTCAAAAAGTGTCAAAGATGAAAAGTCAAATATTCCTCTTTTTAATTATTCCATAAATAAAAGTCTAAACTACGTAAATCAGAAAAATGAAAACAATCATAATATAAACTCTAATAATATCAATACATATGAAACATACTATGATAAATCGTACGACTTAATAAATTCCAAGATTACATTTGACAACAAAAAAGAACTAAATAAATGCTATAAAATGAATCATGAAAATGTAAATATTATACCAAGCAATGATTCTAAACTTCCCAGCTATTATATATATTTAGTAGAAGATGATGAAGAATATGATAAAGACTATTTATATGAAAAAGCAAAGAAAATGTATGAGATGTATGAACATAATAAACACATTTTAGAACATGAAGAATGTAATAATGAAGGAAATGATGACATAGATAATAATGAAGAAAGTTTTGAAAACGATTTTAATGGATGCATAAAATTTTATTCATATTTAAGTAAAAATTATAATCAAATTTTAAGATATTCATACAAAGGTAAATTTTTATATATGCATAAACAAACAAAGAATTACTTAAAAGGTAAAAATATGTTGTGTGCACATTGCAAAAGCAAGTTAGTGTTTGAGTTACAATTTTTTTCTACTTTTATATACCAGATAGAAAAAAAACTTCAAAATAAAGAGAATAATGTTTTAAAAAATATTATAAATAATTTTAGTGTAGGAAACGTAATAATATTTTCTTGTGAAATGGATTGTGTTAGTATCGATGATATATATTCATATGAGCATATTGAACTTGAAATTTTTTAGATATAAAAGAAAAATTTCCTTTTTATATTAAAATTTGTCTAATTAAAAAAAAATGTAAACATAAATAATAAAACATACTTGTAATTATTTTTTTTCTTAATTTAAAAATATATATATAAATATACGGAAATTTTAAAATTATATAAATATAAATTAAATATTCATACAAAAAGAGCAAGCATATTTATGGAAAAGTGTAACACCATCATAATTACAAATGCATAAAAAAAAAAAAAAATTTTCATACATATTTTTTTTTAACAATTCCTAGTATGTATGATACAAGGAAAATTTTGCAATTTTTACGTTATATAGATTTTGCGATTAATTTTTTTTCTTTATCTTTTAAAACATAATATTTAAAACTTTTTTTAAAAACAGAAATTTTTTGTAGCAAACATTGCCCATGGAAACTTAAGTCTTAAGCTTCTATTAAATATTTTTTCTATTGGTATTTCAAATTTTTTACAAAAAGCAACAGTTATTCTTGGATCCATATAATTTATTTTAGAAGTTCCTAAAGCAATAGTTTTATTATCATCTCTTACTTTCATTTGATTTTGTAATAATTCTACTTTTTTTATAAGAGCAATTAACTTTTTTTTACAAGATTCTTCTTTCATATTATCTTTTACTTTATTTGGTCTTAAAGTTCCATCTAAAGTAACAACCTTAGAAACAAAAACGAATTTTTTATCTTTACTCTTTTTTAAATGTTGCAGGTATTTTTTATATTCCTTTATATCTTCATTATAAACTTCTATCTGTTTTTTTATTTTCGACATTGCTGTATCATGTTGTTTTGGAATACTTCTCTGATGATTACATAAAATAGCAACTTCTCTATTAGCATTATTGAAAAAGTTAATAAGTTCATTAACATTAGAAACATCCACTTCTATTGGAGAATTCTTATCTTCTATATTGTTATCCTTTAGTAAATTATTAGATGTGTTCTCATTATTTTCCTTTTCTTCATTGTTTTTATTTTTTTCATTTAACGTTGAATCACTAATATCACTTAGTATACTTAGTGAAGAAGTTCTTTGCCCTAATTTCCTCTTTTTCTTTTTGTGTAAATCAGTATCACATGAATATAATGAATATTTTGATTTCCCATTTGTTTCTTTTATTCTTTTTAATTGCTGATCAAGAGTATACGAAGCATTGTATGTACGAAAAACTTTTGCTGATAATGTTGGCATAATTTCTTTCAAATACTCATTTAATTTTGAGCAATTAATCTGATCAAATACTCCTTCATCCTTATTTTTATTTTTGCAGAATGTTATTATATTAATATATGCTTGCTTATCAATTTTTACAGTGTTAAAATATCGAATACTATCTTTTCCCAAAAAATCCAATGTTATAAAGCAATCTTCTGCTTTAATATCATCCAATGTTTTCGGTAATGGCTTCTTATTGGATTTATTATCACTCGAGTCATTTTTGCTTTCATTTTTAATTGGTACATCATGAGCAAAACTGATATGCTCAACTCTTAAACTACAACAACCTACAGTATCCGCTTCTTCATCTATATCTTTTTCACCCCCTACTCTTAAAGCCAAAAAATCTATTAAATAAACTGCTGTACCCAATTGCTTATCAACAATATTTTTATTGCTCATTTTATTTCTATAATCTTCTCTAATTTTGTGAACACAAGATTTCAGCTTTCTTGCATTTTCATACTTTAGAAGATCTTTATAGCCTTTAAATTTGGATTGAGCTGATAAAAATGTATATTTAATTTGATCGTTAATACTGTCTTTGTAATATGCTAGCCACGTCACTTTATTATCGTGGTAAGTATCTCCCCAATTATGCCCACACATATTATCGTAAAGTCGCGGAACAGGAGCATCTTTACTCACATTAATTACTACATCTTCTGGAAAAATTCTTTTTTTTAATAAACCTTGTTTAGGATGTTCTCCTCTACCCCTGAATAAACCAGGTGGCTCAGCTTTGTTACTTGAAATTTTTTCACGAATCCAATCAACTAGTGCATATGTGTATGGTAATTCCTTTTCCATTCTTATTTTTTTTTCTTCCTCCTTTTCTTCTTTTGTTCTATTTAATTTTTCCTCCCTTAATTTAACTAAGTGATCTTTAATTGGCATAAAGTCTATAAATTTAAAATTTGATATATCTCCTTTTTTAAGTTTATTCTCATTTTCTTGTCTTATAATATTATCTTTCTCCAGACTATTTATAAAAGTTTTAAAAAAATTTAATATAAATTTTTCTTTTGTACAATAATCACTACCAATGACACTACACCAATATGTAGCTAATTCTTCTGCTTTTGCATTTAATTCTGTTTTGATACTTTTATAAAAAATAGGAATATTATGCTGCACATATGGAGGTGAAAATATAATTCCTCTATGTTCTAAATATTGCCACTGTGTATCAGTTTGATCATCTATTTTTTCCCACCATCTATTTATTGGTTCAAAATTTTCTTCAGACTTTTTAAGCAACTTTTTTGGTTTTTTATTTGTCTCTTTTTTTATTTTGCATACTTGTTTTTTTTCATCTTTTATTAATTTACACTTTTCATCATTTTTTTCTTCCTTGACATTTATTTTATTTTTTTCTAATTTATCCTTTTCGTTGTTTCTATTGTCATCATTAAATTTTGAATTCTCATTATTTTCACCAATAGAATTAAATTTATTATCTTTTTTATTAATTATACTTTCACCAGAATAATCACAAACATCATTTTTTTCATGTTTTAATTCAATTTTCTCAATACAACCATTATTCTCCTCATTTATATTTATTTTGTTATTGATATTAACTCCTTTTTCACAATTAGCTTCAATTTGGATGTCCTTTAATTGTTCAGAGTCGTTTAATTTGTAATCACATGAATTTTTCTTAATTTGATTAATTAATATTTCATCGTCTGAAGTGTTGTCATTTCTTTCGTTATTTTCATTTATTTCCATTTTATGAAAAAAACAATAATTAAAATTATAAATAAGTTTAAAGGAAAATTTTTAATAATACAATTATCAAAACTTTCAAACAGCTATTTTATTCAAGGTGAATAATTTTCTTTATCCTTCATATGTTTCCATAAATTTTTACAAATACAAAAAAAAAAAAACAATACAAAAATAATATACTATTTCTAAATACTTAAAAATAGCTCATCGAATAAAAAGAAAGTGTTATGAATAAAATTTTAATTGAAAATTTCAATATTAGTTTATAATTTATTGCATAAAAAAGAGGAGTAAAAAGGAATTAAAAGATACTGAGAAAAAATTGTTATAAATAGTTACATTCCATCCATTATTTTTCTTTTATTTTTTTTCTTCTTTTTTTCCCAATATGTGTTAATCTTCTTTAAATGTAAATTTATAAATAAAAAAAAATTGTATTTTTTTTTTTGAATTTATTTGAAATATAATTCCATTATTTTTAATAAATGAAAACAAAACAATATATATATTTATATATAAAAAAATGAAAGAAAAAAATCTTCAAAATTAAGTATTTTTCTTTTATTAGTTCATGTTACGTAAAAAAATAAAATCTTAAATTATTTATTTGCTTTTTTTTATTGGCACAATAAAAAAAAATATATAATAAAAATAAAATAAAATGATATAAAAATATAATAAAAAAAAGTTCAGTTAAAAATGATATTATCTTTTTATTTAAAAGGTGAAATGTGTAATTTTTAAAAATTTTTTTACTAATGAATTTAATTTTAAAACCTCTTTCCAAATTTAATATAAAGTTTTTCAAATAATTGTCTTCTAAAATAATTTTAGTAGTATGTTTTATTTTATTTCGTTTTCTATATAATTAATTCAAAATTTGCATAAGGAAACAATAAAATTCTAAATAATAATTACAAATAATTTCATATAAAAAAATGAAAAAAGAAAATTGTCAGAAACAAGATGCCATAAAATATATAACAGGAAATTAAATATGTTAAATATAATTAACGAATTTTATTATCAACACCCTTATTTTATTTATTTTATTTTAAACTATATACACACTTATATTCCACATTTAAAAAAATATCGTATATTTGTTTTTTTTAGTGTTCATATTTTCTTTTTTTTTTTTTTTTGTATTTTTACAAAATCGTAAATATAACAAAAAAAAAAATGATGCACACTGCGCATGATAATATATAAAACTTTTTAAATGTTATATGAATTATAATTTAGTAATGAACGCGAAATATTTTTTTTTTTATTATTCTGCAAAATTTCTTTTAACATTAGTATTTTTGTTTATGATTTGTACATTTCTTGTAACTTTTTTTTTATTTTTCTTAACAAAATTTAGGTTGTAAGTTGTTATTAAAAAATTTTTATAAACAATGATGTTTTGAAATAAGTAAAACTCTAAGAAAAATTTTTAAAAAAATTTTAAAATTAAATGAAACTTTTGATTAAGAATAAACTTTTATAATATATTCAGAATATATTTTTAATCTTTTCTCTAATTAAAAATATTTTATATTTTTATTAAATGATTGCAAAAATATAGTTTTTGCAACCTTCATTTATATGCAAATTTTCCCATTTCTATTTTACAAATACATTATTTTCACTTCACACTGATATTTAATAAAATAGAATATAGAAAATATCAATTACATATTATATATATATAAGGGCAAGTTTTTTTATTTCAAAATACTCGGATATACATATTAGTTTTTTCCCTTATTCTAGAAATCATTTACGATATTTCAAATGTAAATATATTAAAATATGAAATACTATATTCGTTATTTTTAATAGAAATAACACATGTTTATACTCGTGAATAATGTTTAAAATGGTATTAATAGATTTTTTTTCTTACAATAATTTTAAAATTTTATGAATAATAAATTATCTTTAAACAAATTATCTTCTTTAAAATGTCTTTAAAAAATAACTAAAAAAATAACGTGAAATTATAAAATAGTAATAATTTTAAAGACTATATAAAAAATATATTAACAAAATTTTTCATATCATTCACCTCATTCTTAGCTCATGTTCTTATATATATATATGTACTGTCTGAGAACATTTAATTTTACTATAGAAATAGAATAATATATAGTTAAATAAAGATGTTTCTATAAAAAACTATTGGAGCATATAAAATATTTAATATATAAAGATACCATTCCATATTAATTAATCATGTTTTTTAACATTAATACTTGTTTTACTTTTAGACATATTTTTTATATTTTAGAAAATTAAAATTATAATACATTTTTCCGAAAGGAAAAAAAATTACATGAAATAATATATAAAAAACAAAATAAAATATTTTTTTTTTACATATTCAACTATAAGTTTAATAACCTTCAATGATTTACAAAAAAAAAAATATTTTTACTTCTATATAATTATAGATATTATAATAAATATATTACAATAATTTCTTTCAACAATATATATGCATATAAATTTTAGTAAATGAAGTAAAAACAATATTTATTATTTTGATTAATTTATAGATAATATTACTTAAAAATTTTTAAAAATGAAATTAATGAATTTATGAATAAAAAAAATTTGAGCTAATAAAATATTAATTCTTTTTTTCTGTTAAAAAGGCAATTTATGATTTTAAATTTTATCACATAATAGCATCAACTATTTATGTATTATATTGTAAGAACAAACTTGAAATTTAATTTAAAATATATAAATATACGATTTTAATATAATAATTAATGTAAATTGGTGTTTTAACATGACTTTCTCAAATTATAGAAAACACTTTATTTTTGTTTAAAAAATTGTTTTGTAAATAAATTTAGAACTTTTTTTGAAGTATGCCTCTTTAGGAAAAGCCTCTTAGAAAAAAAAAATTTTAAAAGAATTACAAGTATATTTTTTTTTATATATTTAAGGAAATATTTTTTTGTGTAAATATATTTATTACTTATCAACATAAAAATTTGTTCATATAAATCATGCTTAAGTAGAACATGTACTTGTCCTTCTTGTATTAAATATTATACATGTTATTTTCTTTTTCCTTATAAATAAATAGAAACTTTTAATTTTAAAAAAAAAATTTACATTTTTTGAGAAAATTAAAAAATAAATGATTAAAAAAAAAATTAACTTCAAAAATATGTTTTTAAACTCTTCCTTTATGTAAAAATTTTTATTAAATATGGTAATTTTAGGGTATATTAGCACTTGCAATACTTATTTCGCTAATGATTTTATAAGATACATCTTTTTCTTTTCATTTATTATATTTAATTAAAACCTAAGAAAATTTAAATTTTTGAGCTTAAATATTACACCATTTTCATTTTGTGAAACACTTTTATAATTAACTGAATAAAATATTAAATAGTATTTATAAATCTTTTTTGATGGAAAAATTTTTTTTGCTTCCAAAATAATGCGAAAATACAAAAATAAAAAATATATTTTTCGATTATTTTTTGTCATTTAAATTATTGTGAACATACATTTTTATTCAAAAACATTTTATTTAAATAAATATAAACAATATATTCTTAATTTTATAAAATATAAATATCTTGAATAATTTAAAAATAATCATTTCTTAATACTGTAATAAACATAGAAAACATAAGTAAAATAGAAATATATATATAATAATGTTTAATAAAACATTTACTGTAACAAAAAAGAATTCAGTAATTATGCAATTATTTTATATAATAAAATGTTGTATTTCATTGTTTCTATTTTTTGGAATAAATTTTACGATGTCAGGATGGCCGAGTGGTCTAAGGCGCAGCGTTTAGGCCGCTGTCCGAAAGGGCGTGGGTTCGAACCCCACTCCTGACAACAACATAGTGTATTAATGCTAATTTATATAGTTTATACTTAATAAATTAAAATCAATAATTTGTTCTTTTTAGGATAAAATAAAAATTTTAAAATTATTTTATGCTACATGATTTTTAGTAAGACTTATCAAATAAAAACACAGTAAAAATAATTCTTTCTATCCCTTTATTATTACTTTAAATAAAATTTACATTTATAATTTTAATATAACATAATTTTTTTCATTTCTTCTATTTATAAATATAATTTTAACAAGAAAATATACTTTCTATTATCATAATATTATAATATAATTTATTTTATCATTATTAAATATTAAAAAATAATTATTAGAAACATAATTATTTTGAAAATACTGTCAAGACATTTTATAAATAATAAAAAAAAATAATTTGCAAACTCTTTAAATTCTTTTTTTTTTGAAAAAAATTTACATAATTCTAGAATCATATATAGAGCAGTTGAATACTTAATAAAAATGTTATATAAACCGGACTTAATAAAATATTATTATATATTATTATATTTATCCTATTATAATAATTGTTTTTTTTAAGTTCCCTTGAACTTATCTTTGAATATTTTTATATTATACATTAAGTGATAAAAATAAATACTCCTTCAATAAAATATTGAATTAAATTAATAACTCTGTTAAAATAATATTTTTATTTTCTTTAAACTATAATAACCAAAAATTTATAATATATTTATAATGTGAAAAACTACTTAAGCTTCAGTTTAACTCATTTTACTTCATTGCATTGAGTAAATTGGATCCAATATGTTTATTGATTATCCTAACAGAACTTTTTAGATATTAAATTTATAGTGTATAAGAAAAGGATTTATAAAAATTTGGTGTCACTTCTATCTAGAGTATAACTACATCCAAGCAAAATTTTGTTTTTCAAAATTTTTATTTCTTTTTCCTTCAAATCTTTCGTAGAAATAAACTATAATTCATTTCTACAGTTTTTCATATATTTTAAAAAATATGCCTAAAGCATAATATATTTTTTATTACATTTATTGACCTTTTCATCAAGTACTAATCTTATAGTTCTATTTAAATATGTAAAAACATCAGAAAAAAAAAATCTCTAATAAAAATTCAATGTTTTTCTAAGACA